TGTGTGTGTGTGTGTGTGTGTGTGTGTGTGTGTGTGTGTGTGTGTGTACGTACTGTCATTACTGCTATAATTTCAAGGATGGGGAAATGTGTTGATATTGTAATGATAATAATAATAGCTCATGTTTCTATGCCATTTCAGGGTTCATGAAATAAGCAGTTCTTTGACCGTGGTCCTATGAAGTAGATAGTCAAGAATTATTATGCCCATTTTACAGATGAGTGAGGATACTGAGGATTGGAGAATTTAAAGTATTTTGCCTCAAGCTTGACAAAACATTTAGCAACATAGCTGGAACTTGAAAATTGGCCCTCTGATATGACATCCTGGGCTTTGAAATACACTGTGCTGTGTCTTGTAGCAGTCTTGTTTTTTGTTTGTTTGTTTTTGGTGAGGCAATCTGGATTAAGTGACTTGCCTAGAGTCACACAGCTAGTGAGTGTTATGTGTCTGAGGTCATATTTGAACTCAGCTCCTCCTGCTTCCAGGGCCAGTGCTCTATCCACTGTGCCACCTAGCTGCCTCCACAAATGTTTTTTTTTCCCCCCTGGTCTAAGTGACTTGCCCAGAGTCACACCGCTAGTAAGAGGAAGCACCTTTGTAACTGAGATCAAGGGCCTTGCTCACCAGGGGCTTACAATTTCAATAACTTTGATAGCCTGCTCCTGAAATTCATGGAATCATAATCCACTCAAATTTATGCTCATTTTTCAAAATGATGAGATTTATGGATTTACCATACATTCTACTACACCTTTTAAAATTCACTCAAATCTTCAACCATGAAACAGTGAAATATCCTGGAAGCACCGCAGGATTTGGAGTCAGAAGACCTGAGTTCAAATTCTTCTTCTATTAAATACCTGTGCAATACTACGCAAGTCACTTAACTTCTCCCTGCCTCAGTTTTCTAATCTGTAAAATTGGAGTAATAGTAGTACCTACCTTTCAAGGTTGTTGTGGGGATCAAATAAAAGAATATCCATAAATATAAAGCACTTTGCAAACCTTCAAACATTATATAAATGCTGACTATTTTTCTTCTTATCATTATCACTTGACACCATAGTGTAAGTTTGCAGCATGCAAAGATAAATCATGTACAATCCTTGGGGTGCCTTGGCTCAGTCTACATACTTGGCTTTCTTTGACTACAGAGTGATGAATCTGAATCACTCTCCTGATTGGGTGTAAAGTGGCAGCCCCAGACTCATAAAACCCTGCGAGTTAAGGCTTTGAAATAAGTCTTGGTTCAAGAGACACTTGGGGTGTGCAGGGGGCAGTGGTCAATCTTAGAGAACAATGTTGTGGAAGTCCCACTGGATTAACTAGATGGCCTTGGGCAGCTCACTTTATTTCTGTGAACCTTAGATTCCTCATGGGTAGATGAGTTCTCAGGCCCCTTCCAGCTATGCTCTTTATTCTGTGATTCTGTGGTTTTGTGAAAGGCAAAGGATGGTGTCCACAGGGTCAGATGGCAGGCCGATAGGACAAAAGTGAAGTTTTGTTGGCTGCCTGCTTGGTTTCTCCATTGATAGATGGTGTGGTGTCATATAAAGATCAATGAATTGAAACTCGTAAGACCTGATTTCAAGCACAGGAACTTAAAAGTCAAAGGGTTCCTCAAAGGCTGTCTCCTCCAACCTGTGCCTGAACAGAATAACTCTCTATAGCATTCCCCCAAAGTGGTCATTCTGGCCAGTGATTGAAGATTGTTTATCATGGTTTAATTGAAGATTGTGAGGTGGATCTCCTGTGTTATTGAATGAAGAAACGCAGGGCTAGAGAGGTCGAGAGATGGAGCAACATCATGTCACTATGAAGAGTTAAAGTCAGGATTAGAACCCAGGTCTTCTGACTCTGAATCCAAAGCTCTTTTGTCCATGTCATGCTACTCCTCAGTGTGTATAATCATTCCAAAGCTAGAAAGATTTCAAGCTTTGGACTGGACTGACTTGGGACTATGAGTCTGAAGACTCCTATCTGAAGACCTGCTTCAGTGGTTTTGGTAAGACCCATCACCAAAAGGTTGGTCACCAGGAGATAAATTTTTTGGCCGCTACCATTTAATGAAACTTTCTACTAAGGTGTGGAGGGGCTGTGATCTACATCAATGGAGGGAGTAACCGCCCTGGCCTTGATGAAATCCTAGATCATTGAAGTATCACAATGTGTATGTATGTATGTATATGTATAGCAGCAGCCTATACATATGAGCATTTGCACAAAGCCCTCATTCTAAGTCCATGCCCAGCTGCAGCTACACTTTAGCCACTTGGTTTTTGTTTTGTTTTGTTTTCTGTTTGTTTGAAACCACACTTCATAGATGCATGACTCACTGGCTTCATTCATGTTTCCATATGTATGTAGAAACATAGCGAAGCAGACATTCCTAGAGACTTTGCAGGACAACCTCATTGAGATGGACATTCTCACCTCCTCCCGCCATGATGGTGCTTACAATGATGGGTATGTGACACTCCTGCGCCCTTCCTCTTTGCTTTCCTTCCCTGCATGAAAGCCTTCAATGGTCTCAGTGCATTCTTAAGGGTGATACCATTGGCCATACCAACCCTTAGGCAGTTTTAGGAGACCAAGAGTTTATAAATCCTTTGGGGCAACTGTAATTTCAACAGAAAGGGGTCCTGAATTAGGAGTCTGGGAAGTTTGGTCCTGGTCCCAGGTCTGCCCCTATGCAGCTTGGAGAGTCTCTTAAAGGAACACAGCATCCTGCGTGTATTAATGCCTGCCTCATTAATATGCTAATTCATGGCATCTCATTGGCTTTCATTGCCCTTTTGAAAACCATTTCATTAAGAGGAGGGTGAAGATGCTATAACCCACAAGTGCAGTTCAGTGAGGATTTGGGCTTCTTGCCTCAGCAGAGGACTTGGGTTGCTCCAAGCTTTGCTTTTTAACAGATGTTGAGTTTGCATTCATTCGAGGTCATCGTATTTCACATAGGACAGGGAAGTCCTCATGTGACCTTGGTCATACTGATCATTAAGTCTAGGCCTTTGCTTGATCTAATAACCCATTTGGATGATAACCATCATGTTTTGACATATTGACCATTTAACCTTTAAGTTAAAAATTGTTTCTGAGATTGGATTCTGTGCTAAACAACCACAAGGCATGCTATGCATGAGCTATCATATTAATCTGAAGGTAGGCCTCGCTTTCTCCCCTATCTGGCTTATACCAAACCTGATTGTGGTCTACAATTGCATTCTTAATTTTATCCCTTTTTTCATTGCTATTCCTTCCATCTTTGTCATGTGATAAAATAAACAAGATATTCTTATTTTCATTGAAAGAATTGGATTTTTTTTTCTTAACCCTTTAACAATAAATATGGGGAGGCAACTTAGCATAGTGTACCAAGAGCCAGCCTTGGAGTCAGGAAGACTGAGTTTGAAAAGCTGTGTGGTTATGGGCAAGTCACTTAACTTGGTGCCCCATGCAGCTGAATTACAAACAAGTTGCTGACCTGCTTCGGTGGAGAAATTTCTGCATAGGGAATTCCTTACACTGATGAACTCCCAGGTCCAGACCAAAAAAAAAATCAGATCAAATACATATTTTATATGACAATTTTGTATAATGATTTTTCATTGGAGATAGAACTTTTGGTATACTCTGTGTCTATACACATACATATATTCTCTTTTTAAAGATCTTTCTTAGGGGTTCAGATTATATCTGGGTCAACTGACCTATATTTGGACTAATATGATATTTTCCATTTTAACAGCGACCTTGAACAACTTCTACTCTTGTGTAATATCACTTTGTAGTCTCAGACTCAGAAAGGATAAGATTTTTGTGTTTCACGGAACCCTTTGACAGTCTGATGCAACCTGAGGACCTCTTCTCAAAATCAAATTTTTAAATGCCTAAAATGCATAGAATTACAAAGGAAGCCAATTTTATGGAAATAAAGTTATCAAAATATTTTTTTAAATGAGTTCACAGACCCCAGGTTAAGAAACCCTGGTGCAGAGAATGTTTTGAGTAGGAATTCCAAAGACCTGGTATGTTAAGCATCATATTTCTGGCCATCATGTGACTTTTCACTGTGGCTGGACTTGGTGGTGATTTTAGATATTTATCTCCTGCGCTACATGGATCACGTAAATAGGCTTCCATTTTAAAAACGTGACTCTTTTTTGTGATATAGAAGCACCAAGAAAGTGGACAGTAGTAGGGTGAGATCAATTGCTTTGTCTTTTAGCCTCTTGGTTTTACGTGGGGATAAAAGACAAGCGTGCTTAGAATATGTCCTTAGATGGTGCCACAATGACCTTTGTCAAGTAGTTTGTTCCCTGAAGTATCTTGTCCCAAGGTCACAAAACATCTGGGGCTCTTTATGCCCCGGCCCCTGTCCAGTTGGTAAAGCCCTCAGTATATCCTTGGGGATGCCTCTCACTGTCTTATCCACTTCCCCATGGAGATGCCTCTCGGTGTTGAAATGTTTGTGGTAGTCTCTTGTACTTGTGACATTGTGACCCTTACTGACCTCTTCTCCTGTTGTCTCTCTGGTTCTACTGATTGTTTAACTTTCTTTGCATGGCTCAGTCTGTCTTGTTTTTGTTTTTTTTAACCAACCCCAGTGGGTCTCACTCTTACCTTACTCACCTTCTTTCTCCCTTAAGTACAAACCCACTCACCGGGTCTGGTGTCTTTTTCATGAATGACCAACAAGCCTTGTCCTTTCTTCCCACAGGCACTTCCTGTTTAAGCCGGGAGGTACATCGCCCCTCTTTTGTACCACGTCTCCAGGATACCCACTGACGTCCAGCACGGTGTACTCTCCTCCCCCTAGGCCCCTCCCACGGAGCACGTTTTCCAGGCCTGCCTTTAATCTTAAGAAACCCTATAAGTACTGTAACTGGAAGTGCGCTGCGCTCAGCGCTATCATCATCTCGGTCACACTGGTGGTCCTGTTGGCGTATTTTGTCGGTAAGTATGTTTTACCCACTTTGGACCTTACCTTCTTTTCATTCCTGTGTTCCTGTGGTTTCTCTTTGACTTGGTTCACCGCACCTGTAGGAAGCCTGACTGTTCAAACAGCCCGTGAGGCCATAACCGAGACACCACTGACCGCCTGGTGGCCCTGATTGTCTGGGATATCGGTCTCACAAACTTCAAAATATTAAATAATGGCAGACATCACAGTTCCTGTCATTGCACAATACTCCGATGGAAATGGTGTTGTGGCAGAGAAGAAAATTTAACTGCGTTTTGTTCATCCGGTGGTGACTGAGTGCCTGCCCGGCTGGAAGGAGCAGTCACTGGGACCACCAGCCTAGATTGGCATTGACTACTCGGGCACTGGGGAACAGACAGCATCACATCACAGCATGTGTCATCCACTGGTCCAGTCCCTTGCCAGGCCTGGATTCTGTTCGATGATCACCTCCATGCCAAATGTTTTTCATGTGGTCTCTTTTTTATTGTGGGGGGTCCTCCCACTGTTTCTGGATGTTCTGGAAGAAGGTTTCATCCTGCATCATAGAACCAAAGAACCTGAGACTTGGAAGGGAACACGGAGGGCATCTAAACCAACCCTTACCTAAAGAAGACATCCCCTCCTTCAACATCCTTGGTGAACACAGAAAATCCACGTGTACAGCTTAGGTCCTGATACTTTGGCTTAAAGAATCTGTGATTTTTGTAGGCGTGGATGCTGATTGGTAGTGTGGGTACTTTGCCAACACAGACCATAACTCCTGTCTGCCTTAGGACATGGTTTATTGAGTTGTTTTCCCTAAAAAAATGACTAGGCAGGGGACACTCTCTGGGTAGACTTCTCTGCAAGTAGCAAAACCGATTCTCAGACAACAGACATGGAGCCAAGATGGAGCCTATCCTGGAAACCTTCCTAACTTGGTAGATGGATAAAGCATTTGTTAATCACTTACCACGTGCTTGAGACTGCCAAGCATGGTAGGACTTTCTATGTTTTCTGTCCCCTTGGCACAGTCTTCAGGAACCCAGGGTCACCCACCAGTGGAAAGGATGCATTCCAGGGAGACATTGTTTGAAGTAGATTCTGATATCTTGCCAGAGCAGCCTGTGAATAAAATCCAAAGTCAGCTACAGAAATTCTTCATATGCTGATGTTTTCCCTTAACCCATCCAAGGTGTGAATAAGTTCCATAATATTAATAAGACAAATTTCCATGTTTCAGTTGGGCATAAGGAAGAACTTTCTATTGGGTAGAATTGTCCAAAAAAGGAATTGACTGTCTCTGGAGATAACAAGTCGCTCTCCTGGGTCAGCTAGGTGGCACAGCGGATAGAGCACCGGCCCTGGAGTCAGGAGGACCTGAGTTCAAATCTAGTCTCAGACACTTGATACTTACTAGCTGTATGACCCTGGGCAAGTCACTTAACCCTGATTGCCTCAGCCCCCCCAAAAAAATAGAAGACAAGTCCCTCTTCGGTAGAGGATAAGGCATTATATTTTAAGTCAGGAAGACCTCGATTAAAATCCTACCACAGATACTTACTAGCTGTGTGACTCTGGAAAAGACATCCTCTCTAAGCCTTAGTTTCCTCAGTTTCAGATAAGGGGTTTGGACTCGAGAACTTCTGAAGTCCCTTTTAATTCTAAATCTTTGCTACTATAATCCCTCAAAGCAAGGGTTCTTAGCTTCTTTTTTGACATGGACTTCTCAGAATAATATATTTAAATGTAGTAAATAAAATACCTAATAATAATAGCTAGCATTTACATAATGCTTTAGGTTTGCAAAGTGCTCTACATGTTATCTCATTACACAGGACCACACCATGGCTTTGAAATACAGTTATCAAAGTATTACAAGTTGTAAGTTCTCAGGCCCCCTCCCCCAAAGTTTGTCTATCCACAAACCCCTTGGTGGACCACGGAGCCCGTGGTGTAAAGGATATTTCAGAAAATTGAGTGCTTACTTATTGGGAATGCTATAGAGGGGATTCCCGGCTCTGGCGAGGAGTTGAAGTAGATGGTCCCTAAGAATCCTGCCAACTTTAGCTCCCTTTGGTTCCACAATGCAGTATGCCAGATGACATGCATCGTGGAATTGTGGTGGACAACTGATTTCTGAGTAAGGAAACTTGGTCCAGGTGCTGGCTCTGTGACATAGAGGTGACCAAGGCTTTCACTGCTGTGGACTCTAAGGCCCTAAGATGCAGGATGGCTGCAGAACTGAATTTATCGAGGGAGTTTTCTCTGTGGAAGCAAAAAAAAAGGGATAACCAGGGAGCGCATGTATTAGCTTAGTGAATGCCACGTGGCTGGGGTATGCTGAAAGCTGCAACAGAATTACCCTGGGAGTGAGGCCAGTCAGGCTTCAGGCTAACCAAGAGGATCATTGACTGCCTGACAGAATTAAGACCAGGAAAGGGAAAGGACCCTGGAGGAGTCATGGGAGAGGTTAGCCAGTAAATATTTATTAAGCACTTGCTATATGATAGATGCCTCTAGGGACACAAAAAAAGACAAAAAAAAAAAAAAAACCAATCCCTCCAGGAGCTCATAATCTACTGGGAGAGACAACAGTGTCAGCAAACATTTATTAAGCACCGACTCTATACTAAGGCACTGTGCTAAGCACTAGGGATACAGAAAGAGACAAAAGACTGGCCATACCCTCAAGGCTCCATTGACAGAAGCATAATTTCCAGGCAGGGATAGGGAGGAGATAGTCCTGCTCTACTCTGCCCTGCTTATACCATATTGGGAGTATTGTATTATGTTCTGGGTGCCCCATTTGAAGTAAGTGATTGATAACTGGAGAGTAATAATAACTAGCATTTGTATTGGGCGTTAAGGTTTGCAAAGCACTTTAATGTTATCTCATTTGATCCTCACAATAAACCTGGGCAATAGAGGCTATTGTTATCCCCATTTTACAGTTGAGGAAACTGAAGTAGACAGAAGTTAAGTGATTTGCCCAGGGTCACAGAACTAGTAAGTGTCTGAAGCTGGATTTGAACTCAGGTCTTCCTGACTCAACAGCTAGCACTCTGTTCCTTGTACCATCTCACTCCTAGTGGTCCAGAGGAAGACACCTTGGGTGGGGTAAGGCCTCAAGTACGTGCCATATAAAGGTCAGCTGAAAGAATCAGGTATTTTTAGCCTTGAGAAGAGAAACTATATATATATATATATATATATATATATATATATATATATATACACATACACACACACACATATATACACACACACACACATATGTACACACACACATATACACACATATATATATACACACTATATATACATATATACACACATATATTGATATAAGGAAAAACTTCCCAAGAATTAGAACTATCCCAGTGTAAAATAAGTAGGGGTCCCCTCTCACTAGAAAGCTTCAGGGAAAAGCCCCATGACTACTTCTGGGGGATGTTGTTGAGAGCTTTCTTATTCAGGCATGGGTTAGCTGGACGGCCTCCAAGGTCCAGTCCAACTTTGAGATTCCTTGATCCCAAAGCTTGAGTCAGAGGACCCAGCTTCCATTCTCACTTTGCTTTTTACACGCTTTACATTGTTGGAAAAGTCCTGTCTCCTCCCTGGCTCTCCATTTCCTCTTCTGTTGGTACACGTCCCTTCCTTACATCCCTTCTCACTCTAAATTCTGTGATGTTATGGTTAGAGCAGGACATGCTGTCTTCCTTCTTTAACCTAGAAGTTTATACATTTTGATCTAAGGGTCTTCAAGAGCTGATGAGATGCGAGCAAGGCTTGTCCAGTTGAACTGTCATAAGTATGGCCCGTAATTAGTCATTTCTGAAAGAACCATCAATTATTAAAAATCAAATTAATCAGTTCAGCTTCAGACAAACATACTTAACAAAGACTCTCCACAAGACCAACTGATCTAATCAGTAGGCAAAAACTCAGATTTTAATTAGATTTTTGGTGAAAAATTGTGTTTAATTTCAAGTATAATCAATTATTAATTACTATAATGAGCAAGTCAGACTGGGTTTACTAATTAACTCATTTAAAAATTATGAATAACCTTTTCATTTGTAATTATTTTCTACATCTTGTCAAGTAAGAGATAAAAATTGTATCACCTAACCAGCAGAGAAGGGAGAAAGAGAAATCAAAAGAAATTGATGTTTTGACTTTTTTTAGGCAATTTTGACGTTAGCCCATAGCACCATAATTCCAGGATGATCGTGTTAGGAGTTTTTTTTTTTTTTTTTTTAGTTAACAGTTTGAAAGTTTCTTCTGAAATGAGCAGCCACTGACCTTTTGTATCTAAACATCCTATGCGTGGGCATGAAGGTCTTAATTGTCATCTACCACTATCAAAGAAAAGAGAAGTAGAAATTAATATTATCTCCTGTTACCCACAGATGTCTGTGGGTATTGATTTCCATGTATCTGCAGTAAATTTAAATTATTATGGATTAAGCCAGTTGGAGTTAGGAGGGACCAAAGGAGTAACCAGCTCAACCTTTTTGTGGTGTGGAGGAAGGAGCTGAGACCAAGGAAGGGAAAGATCACATAAGGAGGTGGTGAGAGGACAAGGGACTGAAAACTTTGCCTCCTTAACGTTGGCACGTTACTCTTTCCCCTGTCCTACATGACCACCATTCTGGTCTGAGCAGCGAATGTACGTCAGAGTAATGTGATTGCAGTACCAAGTTAGCATGAAGGACCTCTGTGGGACCTCTCCTTGAATAGAGTTGTTTCCAAGGACCATCCTTTCAGATTTGGAATTTGTCAAATTTTTTATTTTTTTTTTTATTTTTATTTATAGTTTTATCTTTCTCTTGCCACCCTTCCTTCCTTCCTTCCTTCCTCACCACCCCACTCTTTCTCTCTCCCTTCGTTGCTCTCTCCCTCCCTCTCTCTTTACTTTCCCCCTTTCCTTCCTTCTGTTTTCTTGCTTCCTTTATTAAATCCTTTTTCTTACCTTCCTTCTGCCTTTTCTTCCTTCTTCTTTCCC